TGGTATACCCATCAATGTGGTGGTATATCTATCAATGTGGTGGTATATCTATCAATGTGGTGGTATATCTATCAATGTGGTGGTATATCAATCAATGTGGTGGTATATCTATCAATGTGGTGGTATACCCATCAATGTAGTATATCTATCAACATTTCACAATTTACATTTAGTTACAAAGACATTTTTTATGCAAACTTAAAGTGCCTGTGCAATGCCCACCCTCATGTTTCCCATTTTAGATCTGTGTTCCACTGAAATGGGCAGTTATTGCTTTTTTGCTGAAAATGATTACTCGTATCCAGGTAAATTTGGGATATTTCTCGTGTTGTAGCCACGCCCACCTGTCGTTGACTGTTTTCGGATTTCCGACTCTCGCCGAAAGTGTCCCACCAAATGACAAAATGTGAGAGGAAGTCATACCCCTGAGCCATAATAACATTGGTCATTTAGTATACTTTTAAACGATATACATTTTTCGGTCTGCGTTTTTTTTTCATTTTATCTTTTTTTGAGAGAGTTTTTAGATGTTGTGTTGTGGGCAGTTGCAGTGAAACGTATAGTCACAGTGTTTGTATTCACGCATTTCTAATCGATCCAAAGGTGCGACATCACTTAACCTCAGATTCTTTTTTTGCGTGGAAAAACTGTCCTCGTCCATGAAAAAAAAAACTAGGTTTAAAGAGAAACGCCGACAATGTAAACCTGACAACACTTTTGAAAGAAATAGATTCCGGACCAGCCCATGATCACCGAGGCGGATTTCAGAAGAGAGAGAGACGTCCAGCAAGTGTTTCAAATGAGTTGATTTTTTTTGCAATCCTGATTTTCTTTTTATAGAGGCCATTTAGTCCCTGTTAAGTAAAAAGTAGCAATAATTTTGACAGTGACACGAAAACAAAGCGTCGGACAAACAGGAAATTACACAGCCCTTACACACTGCTAATTGTTTTCATTTACGAAGCTAAAAGTTTCCGAATTGTTTGGTGATTGGTGTTGAATGTTGAATTCACACCTCTGTTCTTTTTTACCTCCATGCTTGCAGCTTGATCTGCGTAATAATTTATGAAATAAGAATCCGGGCTTGGTCATGTGTTTCCACCAAATACAGTTTTAATATGATGTTATAATTATGACAATC